CTCGAGAAACCCAAAGTCTTGCTTCTCTCCTAATTTCCCTGTCGGGTGTTAAATCATCCTACCATCGGACATTGGGGAAAATGTGTTGAGATTCAGAATGGATTCAAGCAGCTAAGTGTGGAGAAGGTGCTCCTGAGAGATACGGCTGTGTCAGGTGCCAGGGTGGGGTGAAGCACAGAATGCTCTAGACGTAGGACTTCCATGGGTACTGACTGCTGTGTGAGGCCTGACATGATTCTGGGGTTGCTGTCTCTGATCCTTGACTTTTTTTTTTTTGGTACCAGGAATTGAACGTGGGGTTCTTAACCATGAGCTATATCCCCAGCCCATTTTTAATATTTTATTTTGAAACAGGGTCTTGCTGAATTCCCAAGGGGCCTCGCTAAGTTGCTGAGGCTGGCTTTGAACATGTGATCCTCCTGCCTCAGCCTCCCGAGCCGCCGGGATTACAGGTGTGGGCCACTGTGCTTACCTGACTTTTAGCTTCCTGTCAATCCCCAAAGACTTTCTGTCCACAAACAGACAGACCAGAGGTGATTGAGAGCTTGGAAGGCTGGAACCTGACTGTACTCTCTATAATAGACATGGCAACTCGTCTTCAGAGCGACCAGTGAGAGTAGAAACTGGCACTGGGCATCAGGAGTGTACACACCAACCGCCTGGGCAAGGCCACTTGCCTGGAAGATGTCCCCGAGACTACCCGTCATTCCTTAGACTGACCCAGCTCTTTGCATGCCGCTTACAAAGCACTCTTGGTTTATTTCTTCATACAAGTCTCATGACAATGTTAGAAACAGCTATTTACTAATCACCTTTCACAAAAGAGGCCCAGAAAGGTCAAGGGACTTGCTCAAAGCCACACAGCTAGACAGAGCTAGAGCCAGGCCTCTGGCCTTGGCGCTCTTGCCATCACCTGGGGTTCTATACACTACTCCGGGCTACCTCTGCTTTCTCCCCACTTCCCACCCCACCTATTTCTTTCCTCTTTTCTGCCTGTACCTTATTCCTGTTAATGCCACCCTGCCAGCCAGCACGGCCCTTACTTCCTAGACCCTAGGCTCTATCCCTGAAAGAACCCCCCACAGGCTGACAATGATCTGAGAGAGGAGGAGATCTTAAGGGAAAAACAAAGTTTTATATAGAAAAAAAATACAGACTGTAACTCAGCAAATCTAATCTAGGGGGAGCCCAGAGTTTGGAACTTTCTCCATCCTAGAAATGTGGAAGGCAACTGCAGATACTTCTTGAAGCCTCACCAAGAGCAGGGACTCCAGTCTAGGTGAGAGGAACAGCTCACTGTTTGGGCCTGGAGGCTGGAAGCTTGGGGTGAGCACTGCTCAAGTTTGTTCAGAAGCTCAATCCTGCTTCCCGTGGGCACTGGCGGAGCCACCACTGTTGGAGAGTTAGCTCTGTGGCTGCCTCAATCCCCGCCACACACGCCATCCCCTCCCTGGTCCTCTGGGCCGGTGGACGCTGAGTGGGTGGATAATATGGTCAGGAGATGTGTGGTGCAGGTGACAAGGCACTACCCGGACAGCCCAGTGATGAACAGAACAGCCCAGACCCTGCGACTAGTCTTCTCTGTCACTTGGGCCTGTCACTTGACCTCAGGGTCCCCATCAGGGAAATAGAGAGATCACTTCTAAGGTCCAGTTCCTGTCCGGCATTCTGTCAAAGAATCATGACGGATCTTGGTCCTTGAAAGGAAAAGCATCACGGAGCTACCCCAAGAGCTCACCTGGGGGAGAGCGGAAGGGCGAGGCTGGAGGGAGGCAGGCCAGGGGCAGAGCTGACCGTGCATCTCACAGGACGGCCGGGGGAGGGACATCAGCAAGCACAGGCCAGGGGACCCCGTGCTCCAGGGTGGGCGGAGGTAAGAAAGAAGGGGCCCCGGGCGCTGGTTTCTGATCTTTCTAGAAAGCTCACTCTCACTTCCTCTTTCCTTCACCCTGACACTGAGTGGGAGCCGACAGCCATGACCAAGGTACCGGCAGATGATCCTAGCGTGGGGTCAGTCCCCTGAGAGGAAGGAAGAGAAGATTATTCATCGAGAGAGGAATTTTTCCATTCCTCATCTACGTGCTGTTGGGGAGGGGTCCCGGGGGAACTGGGAATTCTATAGAACATCAAAGCAAGGGTCCTCACGCCCCCACACCACCCCTCCATGCATTTCCCTCCGGGGGGGCCCCTCCAGCAGGAGCCCAGCCCAGGCTTTCTCTGAGATGTCTCCTCAGCACAGCCCGGAGCACGTGCCCGGGCTTCCTGGCTCCAGGCCCAGCATCTGGAATGCAGGCCGCAGCCCAACAGCACTCTCCTCCTCGGGAACTTCCAAAACTGCCTCAGAATGGGGATTTCCACTCTTCTCTCCCTCCGTGTCCCTGCGGAGGGCATCTCTTCCTGACAGAAGTGGAAGGAAAACAGACTATCCCTTTCCACAAGACTTTCTTTGATGAGTCACACCCTTTCACCTTCTGAGTGGTGACTGTCTGAGTCTTGCAGTGGCCTCCTTCACTTTCCAATGACCACGAACCCCTCCCTGAAGTGGAGACCCACCTTCCACTCTTCCAAAGGCTGCCCAAATACTCAGCAATGCCCGGAGCTTCTCTCTGGGACCCCCCCCCCCGCCCCTGGACCCATGGGCCTCCCACTCTGGGACTATGGCTTCCACTCACAGAAAGACAGCTGCATGCTGGACAACCTCTTCAGGTCCTTTGGGTCTAAAATTCCGTGAGTGAGAGTGACCCCCCAGAACCAGGGAAGAGTAGCTTCAAGGTCTTGGCCTCTTGCAACTTGTTAACCTAGAGAAAGACCAAGGAGTGACTGGATTCCACGGGGACATGGGAGGAGCCCTCCACATTCACGGAAAAGCACACACTGACTCTCATTCTATCCACGTGGGGGTAAATTTCTTGGAAGCTCAGGTGAGAAGGTCTGGGAAGGAATGACCGGGTAAAGTCCTGGAAGTGCTTTATTCATTTGACAAGAAGAGAATGAGCCACAGGTAAAGAAGGGGCGGGAGGGGTGGAGTCGAGGGGGTTCAACAGGAGCCAGGGAGGAAAAGGGTAACTAGCAAGACTCAGGTGGAATGGAATTAAGACTCTGGGTGAGGTGCCAGCAAAGCAGTGAACAAGTTGATCTGTTCTCTCTTCCTTCTTCTGCCTTTCTGCGATTCCACCCAAGAGTCTAGAATGCTCCCTGCCCTCAGATTCTCTAGGATACTAATATCTGTCATGAGACACTAACCCTACTGTCCAGGAGCAGGGGTTCCAGAATCACAGTGTCCTGGGTGGGCGTCTCGGCCCCATATGCTCTTACCTGTGAGACCCCGGACAGGTCACTGAGCCTCAGTTTCAGCTGAGGGAATGTGGGATTGTTGGAGGATGAACCAGACAGTGCAGGGAAGCCTCTGGCATGGGGCCTGGCTCCTGGTAGACACCCCAAAATGCCATTACTGACTACTTACTACCAAGCAGACGCTGTCGTTTGTATAACATATACCATGACTGGCACATGTTTTCTTCCAAGAAGTGCCATGCATTCACTGACATTGTCTCCATGACCCTTGATGGAGAAAGAGCCCTAGGTCTATCCTGACGCATCAGGCAAGGTCACAACCAGGCAGGAGACTGGGGGGGAGTCAAGAGTCCTGAGTTGTGAGCTTGGCAGGGCCACTTGACGTGCCTCAAGCAATCCTGACATGTTTGTGTAAGAGGGAATGTCTGAAAAGAATTCTCAGCTCTTTCCATTTTTATTACTATGGAGGGCATGTTTTCTGAGGAAATCCGAGCAGAACTGCAGAATGAAGCCGTGCATTCCAATTCCCGAAATAAGGTGCCTCTGCTCACGCATGCTCTCTGGAAACCCAGAAAGAAGCTGGGAGAACAGCCACCAAGTCAGGATGTGTGCCCTTCTGGCCCACTGTTGCCTGCCACATGAACCATAGGCTCCTTGCTCATAGTGACTTAACCACAAAAGGGATGCTTCTCAAACTGCCCATTAGCTGTCTACTGATTTGGAAGAGGCTGAGCACAGAGAGGGGAGCCAGATGCACAGTCCCGCAGCCAGTTGGACAACCTGAGCATGTTTCCTTCCAGAAGTGTGCCGCTCTGACGACAGCACAGCCCCTGGGGCTGAGCTGCCTGGGGACCTTGGGCAGGTTGCAAAGATAACCCTTCTGGGACTCAGTTGCCTGAGTGATAAAACGGGAATTAATAGGACCTGCTTGCAGTCACAGGAGAATTTAAAGACTTTGTTCAGGGCTTGGAATATTCCTGGCATGGTGTAAGCACTGTATGATTATGACATGGAAATAACTTCTGCAGCACAACCTGATTTGTATGGCTTCTGCCAAGTCTGAAATCTCACAACCCTTAGAATTCAGTTCCATGTTGATGGCACCCTACAGTTCTATTAGGCATCTTTTATGCCTGCACCCTGCATTTTAAAAAGCAAATGAATTTATTTAATAGCACTGTTGAGGAGCCCACCAAGGCTTTTGGGCAATTTCCTGGCTCCAAGACCCCTTGGACTGTGGCCTGAAGGTAGGCCGGGGCTAAGAAGGGACAGGTCTCTCATCTCCCTGGTCATCTCTGTTTCCCTACTTTCTTCCTTTTTCTTCAGAGGAAGCAGAATAGTTAAGAATAACCCACTTGGTTCATGTCTGTGGTTAGTCCCCTTTACTGTCCGCTGCCCCTCCTGTCCTCGCTTCCTTTGGTCTCAGCAGATGGAAAAAGTGCCAAGTTCTAACCCACAAGTGTCCCTCTTCCACTTCCTGGAAATCTCCCAGGGTATTGTTCTTGCTCAGCAGATTCAAGATTCCACTGCATCATTCATTGAGAATAAGCTGCCCTGGGCCAAGCCTCCTGGCTGGCTCCACCCTCTTGACTCTCCATAAAAGGCAGAGACAGAGCCATCCAAAGAGCAGAGAGCTGAGAACAACTCAGAAACCTCCAACTCCCAGGCTGAAGCTCGCTCGCTCTCTCTCTCTCTCATCCTCCACCATGAAGGTCTCCGCAGCTCTTCTGTGCCTGATGCTCACAGTAGCCGCCTTCAGCACCCACGTGCTTGCTCAGCCAGGTAAGGCCCTGCCCCTCCGCCCTGAAACATATCACCCCATCTCTGGGTCATCATGCCCAGTACATCCCAGAGGGTACCCATCGCCTCACCTTAAGCAGCTGCTTTTCTAAGATCAGGCAACTCAGAGAAGGCCAGGAGTGAGCCCAATCACACAGCTGCTCCTGGGCAGAGCCTGGGCTAGAATCCCAGCTCTGGACCAACTCCAGCTCCTTCCAGGACTCGAGCTCTGGAAACATGCCCCTGGGAAGTTACTGCCTCAGCTGCTGTCAGTAGTCCCGGGTGATCAAAGAGAAGATTTCCCCACCTGGTCTGTGCTTCATCCAGCCCAACTTCCACAGACAGAGGCTCTGCAGAGGTAGTGGATATCAGGGAAGCTCATTGCCAGGCATAGATTTTTTGAAGCCCACCAAGCCCATTGATAAGGCCTCCAGTTATTATTATTATTATTTTTTTTTGGTCCTGATAATTTGAATTATTAGACCATTACATTAGATTCCCTTTCTTCTCTCCATTACCAGTATGGCATACCCATTTTGCAGCATAGGAAACCGAGTCAACATGTCTAAGATCATATTCTAGCTCTGACATATAGGCAGAAGTATTGGGATTTAGTGGTTTCCACTTCTCCTGCTATCCCCTTTCCTTCTCCTCATAACTTTTTCCTGCTCTAAGGTCAGAAGTACCTAACCCATCCTAAAAACGCCTTTTCCGTGTGGTTTATTTTTCAGATGCAGTTAATTCCCCAGTCACCTGCTGCTATACACTCACCAGCAAGAAAATCCCCATGAAAAGGCTGATGAGCTATAGGAGAGTCACCAGCAGCAAGTGTCCCAAAGAAGCTGTGATGTAAGTTGAGCGTGTCTTCTCTCTCTGGTCCAGAGCTTTCTCAGGGAGCAAAGGGTCATCCTCATGAACTTGGAGAGTTACACTCTCTGATCCAATGTCCAGTGGTTCCCAATAGAAAGGAGGGGAAAAATGACCCCTAACATCACTCTCTATTGTGAGAGCGCTCACTCAGACCATCCCTGTTTCATTAGCCTGGGTTCCAACGCTTCCCCTGGGAAATCCAGAGGATCCTGATCTCACTCCTGGCCTTCTCTGGAGTTGCTCCGACCACCTGCCTTCCTCCCCTAGCCACCTTGGTAGCCCCTCGATGCAGAATTGCTGAAACAGCGGAGCCACTTCATCTAACCGGGTCCTCTCTCTCCACAGCTTCACCACCGTCCTGAACAAAGAAATCTGTGCTGACCCCCTACAGAAGTGGGTTGAGGACTACGTTGCCAAAATGGACCAGAAAACTGAACGGAACCAGAACCCGACTAGTCTAGGCACTGCAACACCTGTGAACGCTAACTTCACCACCCAAGAACCTGTAGCTAACTTATCTGCCACTAGCTCTCCCTCCACAAACCCTAACACTAGTATATGATCTTTGTTTATTGGTATGAAACACGATGCCTTAAGTAATGTTAATCTTATTTAAGTTATTGATGTTTTAATTTTATTTTCTGTGAGTAATGGTATTTCTTTAGATTCAGAAACTTGGACATGTGGTTTTTCCTTTTGTGAACCCCAATTCCTCACCTGGTATGTTTGTGAAGGTCCTGGCAAAGATCATGAATGCAAGAACATGATGTTTGAAATCCCAAGGCAGTGTTAAAGATATTATTATGGAAATTATTATTATATAACTATGGAATAAAAATGTATATTTTTGTATAAAACCTGGCTTTTGGTATTTTCTTGAGGGAAATCACAAAGCTGAGCATATGCATTTGGTGGTAAGGTGGGGCGTGGTCCTAGAGGTAGAGCTGATGTTTTGAAGGAATGGGGATGTGGGTCAGCCCTGGCCTTTTCTACTGGGTGGACCCATCTGAGTGTCTATAGACGAATCTTTAAAACAAGGCCCAATCAGGTACTCCAGTATCATTGCTCTAGTCTCCAACATCAGTGATCCTAGCAACTTACCTGCTTAGCAAATCCCCAATCTCATTACTTTTCTCACGTCCCCTGCCCTTGCCCAAGCCCTTCTTATAATATATTACAACCGCCCTTAACTTTGCTATGTGACTCCCATCTGTACCACCCCCCAATACCTGGAATAGTTCAGACAATGCAGACACTGGGGGATGGCTAGCAATAAGCTGGTTAGATTAAGTTTCCCCAGAAAGGAGAAGACAAATTTATTCTTGATAACTGGTTACTGGTTTTTAAATTTTTTTTTCTGGAAAACTTATAGGGGGGCTGGGATATAGCTCAGTTGGTAGAGTGCTTGCCTTGAATGCACAAGGTCCTGGGTTCAATCCCCAGCACTACCCCCACCCCTCCAAAAAAAACTTTAGGATCATTAAGAAAAATAAAAAGTCAAGTCAGAGCAAATAGCAGGAGGTAGAGACATTGATGACCTGTACATCAAAGAGGGAGAAAAGCAATCAGATGACAGTGGGGGTCCATGCCTAGGTGAAGTGCTACCAAGTTTAGAAAGGAAGGTTGAATGAAAGGTTTCGAATGTTCAGGTGGGGACTGCCCCACTTTACAGTTCAGAAGGGAAAGTTGAAAATCTTCAGTCCAGTGAGGAGGAATGTGCCATGTTTAGCGGTTCAGAGGTGAGTTTCAGAAAATGGAACGTAACGTATGGACTTCAGGCCGACATGAAGACGTAGGGAGAAGTGAGAGGCTACAGTGTGGTCCAGCAGGAGACAGCCTGAATGTGGAGGCTGCCCTTCAGCCTGGAGGAGAGTGAGTGAGGCGGGGTGAAATGCTCAGGGTTTAGATAGAGGAGAGGGACCTGGGACGCAGGCTGGGGAGGCATCCTCTGCAACCCCCATTTTAAGGGAGCAGCCTTCCTGAAACCAGAATGCACTTCTGTCCATCACCATCTCCATCCCAACCCCAGGAGCCTGGGAACATCCATTTGAATGGATGAATCTTCTCCTCCTAAATATCTACCTGTATTCCCTGGAATAGCATTTGACTCAGTATAGGGTATCTGATCCACTTGGGCACTCAGACATCTCCCACTAGGGAAAGCAAGCCTCTTACTCCAGTGAAAAAACGGCACGGTATTACCTTCTCAAGCAGGTAGTGTGCATTTGGTAGCATCACGTTCTGGGGAGAACTCTGGCTGGAAAGGACTCTCAGATTCCAATTCCAGGATAGATATTGGCTCGTTGTCACTTAGGAGTAGTTGGGTACTCTAAGTCTCTGTCAACAAAATCAGGATGAAAATGTGTTACAAACAGAAACTCATGGGTACCTAGGTTCTCTTCTATATTTGGAAATATAGCTCTTGGGGGAAAAAAAAAAAAAAAACTTCCATTTTTCTCAGCTGAAGCTGGAGAGGAAGAAAGGGATTGTATTTCTACGTCCCTGAACCAAACCAGGGTCCCTGATTCAGGCTGAGGGATTCCTTCAGGGCCTTAAGTGCCTTGATACATCCATCAGTCAGCAGGCAATATATTGGCAACTATGAAATTCATTAACCGTCATTCCAGATCCAACAGCCTTCCCTGCCTCTCTTCCATCCCTCCCGTCCACAGTCTTGCCCATCAGAAATGAAATCTCAAATCGCAGGGATGCTAAGAGGCCAAAGAGGGCATGGAATACAAACAAGTGAGACCTTACCACATAGCTTACAGAGGACCAGGTCCTCTGAGGCCGAGTGTCTAGGAGGTAAAGGGAAGAGGGATCCACAGGTTAAACTTCCAAGATAATCCGCTCACATGGCTACATTGTTTTTGCAAGTCATGCGTATTCATTTTCAGAAACTCTCGAATCCTTTTTTCCCCCCTAGCCAAACATGGACTTCCTCTCTCCTTGTATGATGAAACTGAGCACAAAGCACAAAGCACTGGCAATTGCGGCCCCTTTAGGAAGGAATGCATTCAGCTCTGGCTGCTGCCAATGTCCATTCCCAGAAGTTTAGGCGTTTTCTGTCATGCTGAGAATTCTTCCAGCCTACGTCCACTGCCCACTTTCAAAGCTGTGTTCACATTTTTAAGCATTGGTTAACGTAGCACCTTTTCCCAGGTTCTAAATTCTGTATTAGTTTCTTACTACTGCTGTACGGAATTACCATGGACTTAATGGCTTAAAACAATACATCTAGACCTGAAGTCAAAAATCTGGAATGAATCAGTAGGGCTGCATTTCCCTGAAGAATTTGGGGAGGGGAGGAGTCTTCTGATCTTTAGCAATTTTTAGAAGTTGCCTGCATTCTTTCTTTGTGGTCTCTTCCTATATCTTCAACCCACCTGTCCCTTTCTTCTCTCTCTCTCTCTCTCTCTCTCTCTCTCTCTCTCTCTCTCTCTCTCTCTCTCTCTCTCTCTCTCCTTTGCTTCTGTAATCACATTTTATTTCTCACTTTCCTGCCTTCATCTTATCAGGACCTCTGTGGTCATACTGGGTCCATCTAGATAATCCAGGAGACCCTCCCCATCTCAAGATCCTTAAACTAACCTATAAAATTTCTTTTGCCATGTTAGGTGAAAATATGCACAGCTTTCCAGAGATTAGATTTGGATGTAGGCATTTGGGGAAGCGGGTTGTTCTTCAGACTACCCACACCTGGAACCTGGCAAAGATTTATAACAGATAGCACGGCACTGTGATCTGGCTTTGAGATCTGGATCTGGTTTGCTGATGACTTTGCCAGATAAGTTTTGTGCACGTCACCTTTCACCCGTGCCTGTGAAAGGTTAGGGACTTGTTTTGTGCATCAAATGACTCTTACGTAGCCTGTGCATCCAAATCATCTGAGTTCCTTTCAAAATATCAGTACATTCCCAAAGATTCTGATTTAGGATGTTAGAATGGAAGGAGGCTCACCTTCCCACTGGTATGTTTTATGAATTCTCCAGAAGACCCTGGTGCAGAGAGGAGTCTGGGCTCCATCCTCCTTGCACCCTCATTCAGGCTACTGGCTGCAGCTCCGATCATCAGAGTGAGAACACCTAGGTTTGAAATACCTGGGTTTTCATAGTGTCCTTTGCTCTGACCTAGACTTGGCCAATTCACAATCAGGAAGCGAAAGGGCATAGAGAGAGTCCAATAATAAACTCAGGATCTTGGAGAGTTTGAAATACTAAGGGTTTCACCATCTCAAGCAGTTAGATGGATTTTTAATTTTTGATTTCTCAAATTTTTACATAATACCTAAGAAGTGCATATATTTAGGGGACCTCGAGTGATGTTTGATTGTGTGCATTGTGTAAGTTCAAATCAGGGTAAACGTGTCTATTTCTTCCATTATCATTTTTTATGGAAAAAACGTTCAAAATTCTTCTAAGCTTTAAAAAAGTCCTTATATACAGTATATTATCCGTATCTGCAGTCACCTTACTGCAATAGTATACTCGAACTTCTTTCTTCTATCTAAAACTGTACATGTTAATCAACCTCTCCCCATATTCTTACCCTCTACTCTCTCCAGCTTTTGATAACCACCACACTATACTCTCAGCTTCTGTGAATCAACTTTTATAGATTTCACATAGGAGTAAGATCATGCAGAACTTGTTTTTCTGTGCCTGCCTTATTTCATGAAAGATAACAACCTCTAGTTCCCGTCATGTTGTTAAAAATGACAGGATTTAGTCCTTTGTGTGGCTAAATAATATTCCACTGGGTTTATATAATATGCTTTCTTTATTCATTCACCCTTTTGATGGACACTTACATCATTTCTATTTCTTGGCTACTGTGAATATGCTGCAATAAACGTGGGAGTAAAGCTATATCTTCAACAGACGAATTTCACTTCCTTTGGATATTTTCCCAGTATTGGGATAGATGAATCATATAGAAGTTCTATTTTTAATTTTTGGAGGAACCCCTTACTATTTTCCACAACAGCTGTATTAATTTACATTCCCTCTACAAAGGTTCCCTTTTCTCCATATATCCTTACTGGCATTTATTATCTTTTGCCTTTTTTAATAACAACCCTTGTAATCAAAGTGAGGTAACATCTCATTGTGGTTTTGATATGCATTTCTCTGGTGATTACTAATGTCAAACATTTTTTTCATAACCTGTTAGCCATTTGGATGTCTTCCTTTGAAAAATGTCCATTTAGATTTCTTTTTTTTTTCATGGTAATCTTTTTTATTTCTTTTTCTTTTCCTTTTTTAATATTTCTTATCCATTGTTGCATGGGATTATTTGTTTTTCTATTGGATTTTTTGTGTGTTCCTTACATATTCTTGTCATTAACTCTGCCAGAGGCACAGTTTGCAAACATTATCTCCTGTCCTCTGGGCTGTCTCTTCATTCTATTGATTGTTTACTGTGTAGAAGATTTTAGTTTGATGAGATCTCAGTTGCCTATTTTTGTTTTTGTTACTTGTGTTTTTAGGGATCCTATCCATAAACCCCTGGCCCGTTCCAATGTCCTGAAATATTTTCCATTTTCTTCTAGCAGTTTCTTAG